GGTGAAACTCCGACGAAACAGTTTGTCACAGCCCCTCGTTTGTTGTCCTCTTCTCCCTCTCTGCCTACGGTTTACCGGGCAGTTCTATTTGACGATATATATATATATAATATATTCCAGAATCATTCTGAAACAAGGGACGCTGGACCTGTTTTCCAGCAGGTGACGCTCCCCACCAATAGATGGACCCTTTTGTAAAAATAATAATAAAAAAAATCCTAGCTTTCAGATTGGAGCTTTATGATGTCCTGACCGGATAACAAACAAAACTTTCACTCGAATTCTCCTCCTCCTCCTCCTCCTCCTCTGCCTCCTCCTGCTGCTGCTCCTCCACATGCGTGTTGTCTTTTGTGCAGCTAACTCTTTCTGCGAGAAGCATGATTATTGTTGGGCCATCGGGGCAAAGGATATACCTGCTGGCGACAACTGCAACTCCTGCTCATGTGTGCAAGGTGGAAGGTGAGTCCTCCTGGCCAGTCCCATGTTTTTTTTTTTTTGCCCACCTTAGAAAACAGAAAAACAAAAGTATCTCAGTCCTACCATATTTTAACACATTCTCGCAATTTAGGAAGGCCATCTATGTTTCCTTTTCCTCTTTTCAAATCAAGCAGTGACTGGTTTTAACTTTTAAACTGGGTTCAGTGCTGAAATCACTGACGAAGAACTATCTTGTTGCTTCCTGTCAACTGACCATTCGTTATGTATCAACCGACGGAGTTTTTTTTCCAGTCTCAGAAATCTGCGTAGTGGTTGGGGCACCGGTTGGAAATGCGCATTGTGGTCTAAGGTTGCGGGTTCAAAGCTCTGCACCGGCGAACGGCGACCGACGTACTGGCCATTCTCGCATCTAGCAACTGCTCGGAGCCTGTACTGGCCATTCTCGCATCTAGCGACTGTTCGCAGCCCGGTTGTTTGGGCGCCTGGGTACCTGGATACCTTATGCGTTCGGTGTTCTATGTGATGGTGCGATGGCTCTCTCATGGTGCACGCTGGGCGCCTGGATAGGTCCTTAAGCGGTCTCTACGGGTCGGTCTGATGCCCTCCTGTTCGTGCCTGGGCGGTGCATGGCCTGCGTCTCCGCTGTCCGTTCAGGGCCCTGTCCATAGTTCAACCCTTCACACAACCTTAAAAAAATAAATAATAATAATAATAATAATAATAATAATAAATCCGCATTTCTCTGAGACAATTTACGACTCCGAATCCTTTAATCTGTTTGCTGAGCTTTCCGAGTTCAGTGCCGTAACTTTGCTGTGGTTTCTTAGCATTGTAATAGTAATACTGTTGTTTTTGTCAAGTTGTCTCGTTGTTGTGGTAAGCGGTCGCCGCGGCTACAGAGTTTTTTTTTTTTTTTTGTAGAAATGTGGATCGTGAATGTGAGTTGTCCATTTGCAATCTGATGATGAATGTACGCCGTTTCTTATTTTTGGATGAACTTGGATCCCATTATTATTAATAATAATAATTAAAAAAACGTGGTGGTGGTGGGGGGGGGGGGGGGGAGAGAGGGGGAGGAGATGTATGCATGCCGTGTGCCTGTCTGTTAGGAAGCTCTGAGTCCAAGTCTGTGTTTCTGCATCGTGAACAAGGATAGAGCAGTAAGCGTAGGCCTAGACTCAGGGATAGGACTGAAATTTGGAGTCCTCTGGACATCCGGTTGAATTGGTACCATACACAGAAAATTAGTGTGGTCCCTGCACAAGGAATTTAAAAGAAAAAAAGGGCTGAAATTTGGACGATTAGGGAAATTTGGTAGGGACCAAGTAGGGATTTCGCAGTAGCTGGGGTACGCCTAGAAGGTCTGGTAGCTGTCCAGTAGGTCATGATGGCCAGGGCCAGAATGTAGACAGCTAGCTTTAGGGGTGGATTCGGGTCCTGCAGGTACATATCAGTCTGCTGCAAGCATGTTCTCGCCAAAAGAGGGAGCGTCTGGTAGCCTTAGTGCACCCAAAGGGGGACCACTGGAGGCAGGAGGTGCCCGTTTAAGAAGTACTGGAGGCTGGAGAGCAGAGATTAGATCATCCGGTGCAATGAAAAGTCTGCTCATTCACGCAGCAGTCATGCTGCTGGTCTGCCCAGAGGGTCCGTGAGGTGGAGCGCAAGGAGGGTGACGGAGGAGCTGATGGTGACGAAAAAGACCTCCACGGCTATGGAGTTGGAATAGTGGGAGGTAGGAGAAGCCCCAGGCAGTGAAGGTAGATAGAGAAGGCCTATCAGCCGGCCTATGGAGGTGAGTGGATTTTGACGAATGAGGAAGGAGATGAGGACCGACAAGGAGAGATACCTTTGGCTATGGTGGAGCATGGACCTACATCTTCATCTTCATCTTCATCTTCCTGGTTGGTGCTGCATTAAGAAGGTTCCTGCCTTAAAAAAAAAAAAGGGCCCCTGCCTGGGTACCAGTTGGACATGGACTTCATCTGGAGGGTAACTTTGGCGGTAGAGGAGAGGCACAAGAGTAGTTGCATGGTCCTTTGCATATCCGTGCTAGCCATGTATGAGTCACCATAGCTAGCTTCCAATTGAGGTGGAGAGGGAGATTGAGGTAAAGGAGAGCTCTTTCTACAGGATCTACACTGGTAGTAACGGGGATCGTTCAGACATTGATTCTTGTTCCGTCATTCCTTCATTCATTATTTTTGTAATTCATTTTTCAAAAAGAGGTGCAGATGATGATGAAACTCATGAGAGGGAGATTATGGCGGGGAGTGAAACCGGCAAAGTTATTGTCCAGAAAAAAAAAAAAAAAAGACTATGGTGGCGAGCGAAGGATAGAGATCGCATCGGTTCCAGCTTGTCTTCTTCTTCTTCTTCTTCTTCTTCTTCTTCTTCTTCGTCGTCGTCGTCGTCGTCGTCGTCGTCGTCGTCGTCGTCGTCTTCGTCTTCGGCCCTTTGGCTAGGTTCGCCAGGGTGGTGGGTGGTCCCTGGAGATCTTGGATCTCACAGGTTTACCCCCACCGCAGATCGATGTCAGCACGATGATGATGGTGTGTGTGTGTGCCACTGTGTGGGACCAAGCATTCTGGCACCAGTGCCCATTCTTTCTTGTCTTTGTCCCACTCCCAGTTTTCGTACTATTCCCTCTGTGGATACTGATCTTTGGTTTTGCAAGTTTCAAAAGTTCGATCCGGTGCACGTGTTAAAAAAATAGTAATCCAGAAAGGAAAAAAATTATACTAGGCTACCAGCCGGGCCGCCCGGGTCACCCTATTTTCCCGGGCGGTCCGGCCGTGCAAGGAACACGGAACGTCCCAGCAAAAAAAAAAAAACATCCAAAAAATCCAAAAAAAAAACTATGTTATGCAGCAAAATAAACTGAACAACTTTTGCCTCAGGGTTACATCGAAATTCCTTACCAAATTTAAAATAACAATAAAAATTAAGAAATATATATATATTTTTTCATTTTTAAACTCGTTTTTCGCCCGGCCGGGCAAGTGGTCCCGGGCCACTCTGGTAAATAGTTTTTTTTCCGAGGCTGTCGGATATAGACATTTTTGAGCCCCCGACCGGAAAATTGTTTTGGGCACCTACGGGACTGAGGAAGAGGGAGGGGGGAGGATTCCAAAAACCTTTTTGCAGGCTGTACTGGAAATGGCGGGAACAAAATTCTTTTGGGCGCCGAGTCGCCGACCTTGAACCTGGATCACGATCTGTGCTCCTCGATTCGACCGTTGGGCGCAGCCACTTAGCGCCAGCCACTTAGCGCCTCAATCGCAACGGGGATGTCTAGCTATATCAGAACTATACTCGGAGGGTTTTTTCTCTCTTTTTTCTCTCTTTTTTCCACAGCTACTTTTGTGAAGTACGGAGGCGCCGATTTTCGTTGTTGATTTCCGGCTCATGTACTGTTGATGTACACTATGGTATTTCTTCGCCTGTATGCTATGCCGACAGGAAGCTGCCAGGACAGCGGACCGATTCGACGACACGGGATGATGGCTGTAAAATGGGGAGTAATTGGGAAGGGAAACGAGAGAGGGAAAGAGGAAACCGTGGAAGGAATTATAAAGCCAGTGAAGGGGCTTGTCCCCTTCACTAATCATATGGCGGCGGAGGAGCCGTCCTGAAGAGACCTGTTGCATGCACAGGTCGAAAGTTCTCGAAACGCGTCGAGGGGTATGCGTGGTTTTTTGTAATGGTGTTTGGTTTGGCAATGCATGCTGGCTCTCCATAGAGCTGGTTTTACCTGTTTGCTATTATCTGCCGTTGCTTCTTCTTCTTTCCTTCTTTCTGCTTCTCCCATGAACTGAGTTTTCTTCTGCTTGAGTTGCAATGTCTGACATTGTCTCAAAGTGGAATTTTGCAACATGACATTGACAGTGTCATGTTTTTTTTTTTTTTTTTTTTTTTTTTTTTTTTTTTTTTTTTGTCTGGACCATTTCTTGATTTATGCGTGTCATCCTTGCGCAGGGGCGCCATGCTAATCTTCATTCTCTGTATCGTTCCAACTTTAACGGATGTCCCAAATCATCATGGCATTGTTTAGTTATTGGAATTTAGTAATTTATTTCTATGGCATAATAATGTGTAGTACACTACTAGCACTACAAAAAAAAAAAAAAAAGAGGGAGGAGAGGAACCCACCGCCACCACCCTACCAGTGTGTTTGTCCCCTCTCTCTAGACAGTCACCCTCAAACTCCTGCTCTGCCCGCGTGCAGCCCTGTTCTTCTTGCCCCCAACCACTTTTGGCCATCGGTAGCTTGACACGTAGCATTGAATGATTGACATGCTGTCTACATGCAGTCTATAGTGTTGTATACTCTCAGTTTTCTCTCTCTCTCTCTTTTTTTTTCTTTTTTTTTAACGCACATGCAAACCGTTACTGACTCCGTATTTGATCATGGATGCGGTATGTGTGCAGCCTCCTTTGCAGTACAAAGCAATGTGTTGACAGCAGCAGTGATGGCGGCAGCGATAGTGATAGCGATAATGATGGGCCCACTGGTGGCGCAAGTACAGATACAGCAGGCTGCAGTGATCAGGCTACAAAATGCAATCATAATCCCTGCGCAAATAAATCGGTGCGTAAACGCCATCACAAGTACTAAAAAGTAGTAAAAACATTCAACAAATACTTTAAAGTCTAAAGACTCTAAACGTCCTTTCAAAAAAAAAAAAAAAAAAAAGAGTCAAAAAATTCCTTAAAACTACTCCAATGAATGGCTAATCATTGAACTAGCGATGCAAAAAAGAAGCCTATCGTAATATTTTTTGCAAAAAGGGGTAGGGTGGGGCAGAGATCTGGGTGGGGGTCGGGGGGGGGGGGGGGGGGGGGTATACCAGATAAAGTTGATAAACCCTTGGTTGAGACCATAGAGGATGAACGTACGCTTGAGTCAATCACCCTTAAACCCTGCTAAACCCTGCTGCTAAACCCTACCGTCTTCACCCGAATAGAACGCCCGGTCATTATAGCCGTATCTGGACTGAAAATTGCACCAACTACGGCTATAATCACCGGGCATTCTATTCGGGTGAAGACGGTAGTTGAAACCCTGTTTACTAATGTGGATGACAAAATCATGACATGCTAAACCCTAGTTGAAACCCTGGTTAATAATGTGGATGAGCTTACAGTCATTACGGCCTTAGTTTTTTTTTTTTTTTTTTGCCTATTTCAAAATTCAATGTGGATGTTGCATAATGAAGTTATCAACCACCGCTGCCTTTTCACCAACGCACTCGAAACACCAAAAATGAATCATTCCTGAATGCTCATCTTCCAGGAGGCCGAGCGCTTCAGGACCAAAATGACTGGCGGCAGCCGCCAAAAGCGAAAAAAAAAGGCTGCGCGGGTGCTTCAGCAAAGCTTGGCGCGCAGTTCTTTTCCGCATTGGCAAAAAGAGGCTCGGAGGTGATGGCGCCTCATCCTTCCAGGAGGCCGAGCACTACTGGACCAAAATGGCTGGCGG